CGAGCTGCGACACCCCCGCCCCACCGCAGCTGCGGGAACAGCACACGGTTAGCCAGGGCCCTGCTCGCTCCAGTCCCTGTTGCCAATCGCAGGTCATAGATAAAGTTTTTCAAAGAGCAAACTGACTTTTTTTTCCTCTCCAAACGCACACAAAGGTAACATCCAGCTCCCCAGTTTAGGCTGGTAAGACAACACTCTCACACACTGTTCAGTATGGAGATCCAGGAGGTCTCAAAGCAGTTAAAATTTGATAAATCCGTAAGCAATTCCAAACGAGATGTTTAGAACGAGAAAGATCTGGAAGCCTTAAAGCCAGGCAGTGCCACCAGCCCCTCTTATAACTCACGCCACAGTCGGCCTGATAAAGTGCTATTTAATGTAAAAGTTGTCACTTGCAGATAAGGCAGTGGCTAAATTTATTTTTGCAAACAGAATTCGAGCAATTCAATCAGTTATTCTCCCTGTCTGGGATGCAAGGAACATCTTGTCTTTTCACCTGAGAAACATCATTGGCCAAATATAAAACACTTCTGAAAACACAGGGGAAATTATCCCCTCAGCAGCAAGGACCCTCCCCATTGTCATTCACTGGATTTATGACTACAGTGAAGTAGCAGTTGCTAAATATAACCCGTGTCTTCAGAAAACACAGCAGAGCCATCAGGCTAAATACTCCAGAGCCAGAGCCATGTATCCAGAGCGGCTGCACTACGGATAGTACGTGACGATGCAGATCCTGACGTGCACGAAAACGTTATCTGTTATTGCATGTGCTAATAAATTGCATCAGCTTTTAAGAAAGATAAAGAGGCAATAAATTGGCTCAAACTCCTCTTCTGTTCCCTCTCACTCTGACAACCATCTTTATGGTTAGTTTCAAACACGACACCATTAGTAGTGCAATGATTTTCAGGCACACATTAAAAACTCTCTATATAATCACTCATTTATTTTCATTTCCATTACTGTAGCCCCAGAGGTTGCCTTTCAGATTATTCCTCTCTACTCCCAACCATCTTCTCCACAGGTGAGAAGCTAGATTGGTTGTCTCTCCTCATATAATTAGTGGATAAACACAGTAGGACACCACCCTGATTTATTTTTGTATTTGAAAAGCGCGAGGTACTTGGAAAGAATCGTGGCAGATTTTCCCAGGTCACTCTCAACAATGCAATGGTTCAAGTTAGGGGTCTTATGGTGGGATTTTTCTTTAAACACGCAACAAATTCAGATTTACAATCAATGTCTGGTCATCTGTTTGATAACCTGTGGTTCTCAGCTTTCATTTCCCTTTGTACAGTCTTGCCAAATAGTAAGATTCAGCCGACTCCTTCCGGCTGGCCTGAGGCTTTATAGTTCTCACATCCTGGAACTGCTCCTTCAGTCTGTTCTGCAGAAGACAGGACTCACGTCCATCCCAAAATTTACAGAGCATTGTTCCTTTTGGCTTTAAAATACTTTGGGACAGATTCAGAAGGCCTAAACACAGATTCACCAACTTCTGATGATCCAGTTCTTTAATGCCTGTTGCATTAGGTGCCATGTCACTCAAGATAACGTCCACCATCTCTGCAGGAAGCAGACTTTGAATCGTCCTCAGCGTGCTTGGGTCTGCAATGTCGGCCTCCGACAGGAAGACTGCTCCTTCCAGAGGAGAAATCCGCAGGAGGTCAATGCCAAGGACGAAGCCGGTGGGGACAGCAGGATCTAGACAAAAAGAATGAATGACATGCTGAACACTCAATGGTTGCAAACAACTCGCACATGCATGAGCTCCATGTTAGTCGACAAACAAAAACATTTCACCTCCTGCGTCTGGTTTTCTTGACCTTAGTTTGCTGTGTGCATCCGTACAGGTGGTTTGCTATAAGCTAATTCATCCAAGACATGAAAACTCAGTTAATTTGGATAAGCGAGGGGTATTTTCCTTGGTTTTCTCCTGTTCTTTCAAGGCTGACAGTCCAGAAATCCTGGACGATAGTACAGACGATAACACCTTATCTTGTCAATATTAATGGCTTAAAACATAAGGCATACACAGTGGTTACCATCATTTTTCAAAAAGGGAAATAAAAATATAGAAAAGCCAAGTTACCTGCTGGAAGCTATACCAATTTCAGAACAGGATGAAGGGATCCTCCCCACAACACAGTTAATTAGAACACTTTATTAAACCTACAGTAGAACCTCATGGTAAGGTTTTATTTCACAAATATGATTTTTCCAGACCACATAAAGATTTTCACTGTCACACAGGCCTACACCTTGACGCTTCTATTAGTGACTGGCATTTGACAGTACCCATGTCTCTTCCCCACACTGCCGCCATCACAGATGAGTTTTCTCACACGCTTCAAGATGAGTATCGTTCCCATCTTGCCTGCCAAAAATGTGCACTTACCAGTACCTAAGGCGTTGACCCTTTCTACAGCAACTTGGCTCCAAGCACCAGGCGCCGCACCACAGTCAAGAACAGAAAGTCCTGGACGAAGAATATGGAACTTGTCGTCGATCTCCAGTAATTTGAAGGCACTTCGGCAACGGTAATGCTGCCGCTTTGTCGCCTTAACAAAGGGATCCTTCGAGTGCCGCTCCAACCACCAGTGCTCGGTTCCAGTTTTCTTCAGAAACCCCACCGTAGTGTGGAGACATTTGCTCACCAGATGCCAACGGCTGCCCGGGAAGAAAGGCGAGTTAATCGGTTAGAACATAACCACCACGTATTTCAAAAGTCTCTACAGTAATTGACTCTGATCTCGACAACAGCTCCTCCCATTTATCACCAGGCTTGCAAAAAGCCTCCAAATTTGAGATTCTTGGTGCCTTCAGTTCTCCAGTCCAACCACAACGACAGGGCTGCTCTTTGGGTGGAGGCCTCGAAGGCCACCCCGAGCGAAGGCAGGAAAAAGGGCCCCACTCCCGCACGGCTCCGTGCTTCGGCTCTGCGCAGGGGCTCCAGGCCCGCGGTACACAACATGGCAGACGGGCCCCAGCAAGGCCCGGGCCG